GAATCAAACCTATCACTAGCCACTGGGCTAGCAAGCTGAAAAGTTAGTCTCGAGCCCTGCTTCTTCATGGTTTGATTGCAGTTGATACAGGTAACTGAGGAAGACATTCTGTAAAATCTCTGAAAACTTACTTGTGTGTGCAGTTTTTGTTTGTTTGTTTGTTTTGTATAACTATATGCTTTTTAAAATGCCCAACAAAAACCTTCCAGTGGAGGGCTAGACCTAACTGTAATATAAATAGTGAAAGGAAATGCTGTGCAGATATTTCGGACTGGCAAGTTTTAGTCAGCAAAGCTGAAAACTGTGTTGAGCATAACCTTCATGTACTTTTTTTGAAATATAAAATTGTCTTAGAGGTTTGGCAGTGAATCCATGATGTGCAATGAAATTTATAAAAACTGGAAGAAAACTTTCAACCTCAAGGTCTTTGAGTGTGTTGGAAAATTACACTTCTTATAACCCACATGCCCAATCATTAAAAATCAATATAATCAATATTAATCAATCAGTATCAGAAATTGATAAAAATCAAAGATTGAGACAATTGTGACCATCAATTGTTAATGATTTCTACTGATTTTAGTACTTTTTAAATTTCTGTAATTCACAGTGAAAGAAAATAATTGGGGCAAATAGGGCCTTTCTTGCAGGTGCAAATAAAATGCATAACTTCTTTCCCTATATGCAGCGAGCAGTATAAATAGTGCATGGTAAACCAACAACAAATTCACAAAATGGAATTACTCGAGGTGCCACACCATTTGTTCCAGTGCAGAACTGGACTAAATATCAACTTCACTTTATTTTGCACTTACATTTGGAATTACAATATTAGAAAAAAGAATCAGCTAGTATCCTCTTTCAAAAAGTGTTATCAATAAACTATTATAAATTGCTTACCAATTACATAAGCCAATCATTTTAAGTCCTCTACACTAAATCCATCAATCACTACATTGATTACAATCACTATAGTAACCAAATCAAGAGACTGACTTTGTACAATTGTGGAGATTAAGTCTCCGGTGACTGTTTTGAAAACAGTCATTTTGCAAGCTATTCTCCATATTGTTAACTATGATATCTAAAAATGACTATTAAAAGCTCTTTTTCAAATGAAAATTTAACTTTTGTGGGAAATTGTAATGGTTATGATTTATTGTTAAAAGGATATCGTGGCGTCCAATTTAGTCTGTAATCATACTTGTTGTTAACAAATCGGACTCCCGCTTTGCAGTCGTCCGATTTTGTTCATCACTTGTATGATTACAGACCAAATTGGACTCCACTCAGTCCCATTACCATTGTATATCAGCATGGCTGCAAATATGAGGATTTGTATGAGGCCTACTCTGGGACCTAAAGTCACCGTAATTTTGGGCGACTTAAGGCGATTTACGCTGATTTTGGCAAAATTCAGTATAACAAGAAAGCGATTTTTGGCAACTTAAGGTGACTTAAGAAGATTTTGTAGCAGTTGCAGTGAGTAAAATAATCTGTTCTAGCAGTATATTTGAACCTCTTAGTATGACTTTAGTGGATACCTCCAATAGGACCTCAACATAACAAAGGTTCCATGGGTCCCACACCTGAATGTCAAGCTGAAGGTTAAGATGGTGGCCTTTGTTGAGCCTCTTACCTATGAATAATCTATCACAGTTAACCCATAAAGACACCAAACCCAAACAGGAATAGCCCTTAAGATAATAACGGCTCCCAGGCTCTATGACGTCAACCAGGTAATGCACCCAGGCTTTAAAGAACTTCCTACAGGAACCTTTGTTCAAGGCTCCATGTATCCCCATTTACTTTCTAATATAACAGAATTAATCACAAAATGCCCAAGAAAGGAACTAAAATAATTGTCTGGACAAATATGCCATGAACTCATGCATTATGTGTCAGGCAACTTCATGTGTGATCAACACCAGACATAAGGCATAATACAACATACCCCGACAGGTGATTGCAATTGAAATTTTCTGACACACAATTCATCAAGGAAGAAGACCGACCGTCCATAAAGATTGAAATAGGAGACAGAGTCACTTAATCAATCACTTAAATATATTTCAGCTTAATAGAATCAAGCTTAACATACATATATTTAAGTATCATGCAGTTTGTCTAATTTAGACAAACCGCATTGACTCACAGCATCTAACCAATCAACGTATTTGATGCATTAACAATTAAAATAAAACCTAGGCCATAAAAACTGGAGAAAATCTTCGTTCTAAGGCTAAACAAAATTCTTCCCCAGATTATAGCGGAGCTCCGGCAGCCCAAAGGGCCGCCAAGCGGAGCCCCATACTCATATGGGAAAGAAAAGGAAACCCATAAGTTGATTTTCTCATGGTTATCATGGCTAGCGGTATTGCTCGTGGGCGCGTACGCACGACGACGGCGACGACGACGACGACGGCGACGGCGACGGCGGAGTTGCCCAACATGGCGGCTATACTCCAAATAATAGGTTGACAGAGACATGCAGCCTTGGTTTACCGTGTACTTCCTTGATATTGGACATCCATGTTATGATCAACTGAC